TTCGTGGATAGCCATCCTGGTTCCTTTGCTATCCTCTTGAAAGCCTGAATATTTTGGAATTTTGGGGGGACTCCTTAGAGAATCTGTTGAAAGCTATAGCTTCTTGCTTGAGAAAAATGCACAAGCAAAATTTTCATTCAATTCCAGAGGGGCTCGGGGATCCCCTGGAGCTCGTGGTGAAGAACCTGTTTAGTGAAAAAGACAAATTAGGTTTGGAAGGCTTCTGCCCTTTGCCTCAAACTTTCCTTCCATGCAGCCCCTTTGAGTTTCAGACTGTCCTTACTGCACAGAGGTGGGAAAGAGCCTGAGCTCTGATTTCAAAGACACTCAGGTTTGTATCTCAGTCCCTCCGCTCATTAGCTGGGTTAACTTGAGCAGTTTTTTGCTCTGTAAAATGGGTATGATAATCCTCATCTTGAAATACTCCCCTCCTTGTTTGCGGTTTCCCAGCTTAATTGGCCTTCTTGCTTGTCCTTCAAATATCTGAACTCTTTCCTGCCTCAGGGCCTTTGCACTTGCTGCTCCCTCTGCTGGGAATGTTCTTTCCATCATCTTTACGTGATCAACTCCTCATCGTTCAGGGCTCAACTCAAATGTCACCTCCTCAGGAAGGCTTTTCCTGATCACCCCACCTCTCTCTCTCTCTCTCTCTGTTTATTTAGAAATTTTTTTAAAAGTATGCAATTCAGTGGTTTTTAGTATATTCACAAAGTTGAGCAACCATCACCAGTATCTAATTCCAGGACATTTACATCCCTGTAAAAAGAAACCCCTTGCTCATTAGCAGTCACTTTACATTTCTGTTAAAGAATCTACCATCTTGACCATTTTAATGTGAACAATCGAGTGCTTTTTATCTAATTCCAGAAAATTTTCATTATCCCAAATAGAAACACCATATACATGAAACAGTCACTCCCCAGTCCTCCCTTTTCCTGGTCCCTGGCAACTACTGGTCTACTTTCTGTCTCTATGGATTTGCCTATTCTGAATATTTCATATAAATGGAATCATACAATATGTGGCTGTTTGTGCCTGGCTTCTTTCACTGAGCATGATGTTTCCAAGTTCCATTCATGTTGTAGCATGTATCTGTACTTTCTTCCTTTTCATGGCTGCATAATATTCCATCCCATATAACACGTTTTGTTTATCCATTCCTCAGTTGATTTGGGTTGTTTCCACTTTTTGACTATTGTGAATAATGCTGCTATGCACCAGTCTTTCTTGATCATGTCACACTTTTATTTATTTCATTTTTGCAGCCCTTGCTTGTTTATTTAACATGTACACTTTTTTATCTTCTCCCCTAGAATATAAGCTTCATGAAGGCAGGAATCTTGTCCATCGTATACACTGCTGTATTCCCAGGGCCTTGAGTAGTGCCTGGCACATAGTAGGCAATAAATATTGTTGAGTGGATGAATGAATGAACGAATGGGAGCTGCTGTTATTCTCTCGTCTCTTAGCAGACTCAATCTTCTCCTCTAATTCATGTGGGTCTCTTGCTGTGTTGACTTGTGTCTCAACATCTGAAACTTCTCACCAGCTGTGGTCCTTGGCCCATTGTCCCATGAGCTCAGGGCGTTTTTTACCCTAGTACAGTCTCAAGCTTGAATGTGCAGCAGACTCACATGGAGGGCCTGTGAAAACAGAGATGGCTGGGCCCCATCCTTGGAGTTTCTGAGTCAGTACATCTGGGTGGGTCTGAAATTTTGCATTTTAACCAGTTGTCAGGTGATGCTCCTGCCACTGGTTGGCAGACCACTGTTTTGAGAATCATTGCTGTAGTGGGGTAAATATCAGCAGACAGGCTAGGACCGTTGAGTTCTTAGGTGGTATATGTGGGCCTCACCCAAATAGCTCATCTTCCTTCTCTGTCTCCCTTGATGTGGATTCAGAGGGTTCTGGTAAGTTAAGAGCATCTTGATATAGCCTAAAACACAGCAGCATCACTTGTGGGTGTGTACCCTGGAGAAGTCTCCTTGGTCCAAGAAGGGGCATGTATGAAGATGTGTATTGGCAGCGTTGTTTATAGGGGCAGGGAATGGTGACCGTCTAGATGTCGCTAATTAGGGAGATGGATAAGCCGGGCTGATCTTCTGCTGGTTTGCAATGAAACAACTGGATGTTTCTGGCTGGCATCCATTCTGATTGGTCAGTTCCTCCGCCATATTGGGTGTTGCATATTGAGACTCTCATCTCTGCAGCAAGTGAAATCTGGGGGCTGCATGTGTTGGAATGCTATGCCGCAGTTGCAAGAAAGGAAAGAGATTCACTTTCAGCAACATGGCTAGCTCTCAGGTTGTGCAAACAAAGGAAGAAACAGAATGAGGTTTATGGTCAAAACACCACTTATGTCAAAGATGCATACATCTACAATAATACCTACAATATTATATATCTTTCAAGGGTAATCATATATCTAAATAAACACATAATGGAGGGTAGATAAAGAGAAGAAAACATGTTGGTGAGGTCCAACTTGAGGTGTGATATCTGTTTGACAGTTATCTCTGCTCTCTTCCATATGCAAACACTGAGCATCTTTCCTAAGTTTACATGTAATTGTGAAGGTCGCTGTTATAGGTTAAATTGTGTCCCCCCCAAAAAATATGTTAAAGTCCTAACCTTGTGGCCCTCAGAATGTGACTTTATTTAGAAATAGGCTCATTGCAGATGTAATTAGTTAAGATGAGGTCATACTGGAGTAGGGTGGGCCCCTAATCCAATATGACCGGTGTCCTTGAAAGATTTCCATGTGAAGAGAGAGACACAGGGCAAGCACTGTGTGAAGATGGAGGCAGAGATTAGAGTGATGAAGCTGCAAACCAGTGAATACCAGAGATTTCCGCCATACCCACCAGAAGCCAGGAAGAGGCAAGGAAGGATGCCCCAATAGGTTTCAGAGGGAGCGTGGCCCTGCTAACATCTTGACTTTGGACTTCTAGCCTCCAGAACTGTGAGACAATACATTTCTGTTGTTTTAAGCTCCTTAGTTTGTGGTACTTTGTTACAGCAGCCCTGGGAAACTAATACAGTCACTTAACACCTCTCAACTTCTTTCCTTATTTGCAAAATAATACTGAGAACCCATGTTGTTGGCTCATCTTGATTGAGTCATCTGTTAACCAATGGTCCATTCACTTATTTGTCTGCCTCCTGAGGTGGACCAGTTGTGACTTTTAGGTTTCATGCTGTTTTCAGTTAATAGATCCTAGTTCAGAAGAATTAGATCTATTTTTTGTAAAATTAGAGTTTTGTAAAAATAATCCACAAACTACTCTGTGTGTGTGTGCATGCGTGCGTGTGTGTGTTGACTTGTGATTTTGTCGGTTTGCGGTGTGCACGTGTGATTCAACTTGAGTGAGTGTTGTCAAGGGGATTAAACATGATGATAAATGGAAAGGGCCTGAAACACAGTTGGTGACCCAGGTTCTATGCTTTCCCTCCATCCCCAGCTACTGATTAAGAGGGGCACCAGCATGGGGTGTGGACAGATCACACCAAATCCTCCATAGTACTGTTATGAGAGGTTCGGGGATTCGATCGGAGATGTAAAAGACATTTTCCACTCCAAACAAATGGACTGAAGGTATATTTTATTATATAGAGGATAGTAAAGGCGATAGTCCGCAAACAGATCCGAATAGGTCAAATAATAAGAGGGAAAAAACACCAGCTCGACTGGAAAGGGAAAACATCCACATCAGCTGAGATAGCAGCAGATCTGAATAAGTCATATAATAAGAGGGAAAAACATCAGATCGATCGGAAAGGGAAACACCAGATCGACTGAAGGGAAATGACACAAATCAACCGGAAAGAGAAACACCAGGTTGACCGAAAAGAGAACACATCAAATCAGTTACTTCACAGTAAATCAATTACTCACAACATCCACGCCCCACTGCTGGGAGAGTCCTGTCAATCGACACGGCTGGGCAAGGATCACACATCCTGGGCAAGGCGTCCCTTCCACAGGTGGAACTCTCACCAGGTCTCAGCTTCCAGCAGTTTATATAAGCAGTTCCAGAGTTTACAGAGCAAGCATCTAGCGTTCCCATGCACAAAACAGTTATCAGTGGCATACGTGCACTGAGCCCCTTGGCTAACGTCCCAGCCCAGTGGTTGTGTACGTGCATTGTTTTCTTTGGTTATCGTCTTAGCCCGGCACAGATGGCCAGTCCATCCCGTGCTACGACGCTCCAAGAGCCTTGAACTGTTACAGCTTGCAACTCCCTCCATGGGAGAAAGGCCAGTTGCCGGGAAAAGGCCAGTTCCCACCACACAGAAAACAGCTTTGTATTTCTTTGTGTGCTGGTGGCTATAGGTCAATGGAGCGGCCAAACATGGCTGTACTCATGTCAAGACAAGTACAGAAAACCCAATGCACACAGCTGTGAGTACAGACTCTCGTTCAAATTCCTGTGCTACAACTTACTGGCTGTGTGACCTTGAGCAGGTTAATTCACCTCTCTGAGCCTTTGTTTACTCATCTGCAAAGAAGGAGTGATAATCCTCATAAGGTGTCTGTATGCTGCTTAGTTGAATTAAGGCATGTAACGTGATTAACATAGTGCCTGGCTTATGGTAAGTACACAATGATTGTTGTTTTTTACTAATAGTGGGCCATTGCTGTACATGAAGTGTTGGTACCTAGTGTTAGATATCTGGGGGGACTAAATCTATGGGGTGCAGACAATTACATATATTCATCACTTAATCCTCCCAACAACTCAATGGGATAGGTAACACTGCTATTACATGGCTGTTGTGACAAGCAGGTGAACTGTTCTGCATGAAGTCCTCATATAACCTCTAATTGCAGTGATCTTACTTACTTATATTTTTTCTCTCCCCCACTCCCCACCGCCAACTAGAATGGCGGCTCCGTGGAGTAAAAGGCCTTGTCTTTTGTTCATAAGCTCAGTGCTTGCAGCACAGGACGTGCCAATCATTGTTTTGAATGAACAGATTTAAATTCTTTCTCCTTTCAGGGCCCTCGCGGATGTCATGAGGCCACAGGGCCACTGCAACACTGACCACATGGAGAGAGACCTCAACATCGTGGTCCATGTCCAGCATTACGAGAACATGGACACCAGAACCCCCATAAATAATCTTCGTAAGTACAGCCGCACGATCCATTTCCAGTCCTGCATGGTGACCCAGGCAGGGGTCACACTTCCAGATTTCATGGTGTGTGTGCGGGTTCATTAAGAGTTTCTTTAGTTGTCTAATTAGAAGTTTTATTCCATCTCTCCTGGATGAAGCTGCATTTGGAGTCATTGGATTCCACTTGGTTAGTTTCTCTGTTAAAGAATGATTCACTTGATTGGTTTCTTATGGTTGGTTCTTCTGTTAACTAGTAGACCACTTGGTTGGTTCATCTTGGTGGATCTGTTAACTAATGGCCCTCTTGGTTGGTTCATCAGGGTTGGGTACTTTGTTAACCAATGGATTACTTGGTTGGTTCATCTTAAATAGTTAATCTGTTAGCCAATAACCCATTTTGTTGGTTCAGCTTGATTGGGTCATCTGTTAACCAATGGTCCATTCGCTTATTTGTCTGCCTCCTGAGGTGGACCGTTTGTGACTTTTAGGTTTCATACTGTTTTCAATGAACAGATCCTAGGTTAGAAGAACTAGATCTATTTTTCATAAAACTAGAGTTTCATAAAAATAATCCACAAAGTACTCTGCACGTGTGTGTTGACTTGTGGTTTTGTTGGTTTGCGGTGTGTACGTGTGATTCAACAATAGCAAATTCCATTCCATTGTGCTGCCATGAAAAAAGAGCTACATTTACCGTTGTGTTTCAATAGGTATTTTTTAGTGGATAGAGCATACTTGGGGATCTTGGTGTGTTCCCAAAGATTTGCTTTCCTTTCAAATGTCTGTATATACAACATACATTATGGAGCTGATGCACTGACTAGTGGGAGTGGGGAAAAACAAGATTGTTTAGCTTTTGACAACCGTGTACTACCATGGTTATTCCTAGCAATTACGTTTTCAAGTAACCCCCACATTAAAGTAATGTGGAGGGCTTGGTTTAAAATAACAAAAGCCAGACAATTTAAAGGATGCGTTAGTTGTGGCTGGAGGTTCTTAACAACAGAATCAGTTGTGGCGTTGCACATTTTTCAGTCTGGGTCGCCTTTGCTGAAGCTCCTCCAGGAGATGCATTGGTGTTTTATTTGCTGAATCATAGTTTTTGACTGTTTGCTTGCAAATTTTTACACTTGACAGGTAGAGGAATAAGCTTGTGGAATTTGACATCGGTGATGTAAATTCTCTGTTTCCGCGTGGTGATAATTTTTCACGGCCTTGGAAATGTGGCAGTATGTTCACAAAGTCAATGTTTACACGGTTTGAAAATGGGCTACCACGTGGAAGGTCTTAAGTTTCATTGTAGTAAGTAATTCGACATTATTTATTTAGGAACTGGATCATAAAATGGTGCGAGAAATAGCCATATTTTAGAGAAAAATACAGCAGCAAGTGGAAGCTTTATGACCAAATCTCACAGCCCCGAAAGATAGAATCAGTCATACCGACTCTGACACCCCAATTGCTGTGTCCACTTCTGGCTTTGATGGAAATGAGCACATTCTCATTCAGCTGGCGCTGGGAGATAAGTTGAACCTAGACATATGTGGGTCCCAAACGTCATAAGTGATTGAATGTGATCATGGAGTCGAGAAGGCTGAAATGGTGCTGAGTCCCTGGCTATAAATGGTGATTGTTAACTAGTTTCTCATTTGAAGTTTCAATTTTTAGGATGATTTTGAATCAGCACTCAAGTGGAATAACAAACTTAATGAAGTCACCCAAGTTTTGTCATTCCATCAGGCAAAAGAGCAGGGAGCATTAATGAAGCTTGTTTGAATAAGGGACTTTTGTTTAAAGGTATACTGAAAATAAATTACTTCTTGGAGATGGATTCCAGGTACCAAGTAATCCAGAAGTCTCTTGTGACAGGTTAATTTGGTTTATTTGTGATTCGTGCTTTTAGTCTATATTTGTGTCTTAGTAATCAGTGATCTTTTATACCAAGAAAAAAAATGTCTTGTAATGCTCTACTGGGTGGAATTATACCAGAGCATTCCTGGTAAACTACAGGGGAGAATTCCAGGTGTAATGTCACAAACATCACCTTCTCGCAAGAATTACCACAGATATTAATTTCATATAATCCTGCTAGATTGGTCCAATCCTTACTTCCTAGCATTCTTGGGACTACCTGGAAAATAAGAAGCATACAGCTTTTCCACACGTCTACATTAATAAGTTTAATTTATATAACAAATTAATTCAGTGGTCGGTAGTAATAATAAGTTTCCTTGTAATGACTTATCTTTTTATTGATTTATAGGAGCTATTTATATATTATAGACACAGGGAAAAATTTGCCTGTTCAGAAGAAGGAATGATTTAGGGGATTCATTGAGAGGATAGGACTAGGTTACTGATATTTATCAGTTATTAGGGATTTAAGAAGCCAAGCCATCACCACAGCCCACGTTGACGGATAGGGAACTAGGAGAGAAGGAATCCAGTCTGATAACTGGAAAGTTAAACAGCTCTTGGTACCAGAATTAGAATGCACCTATTGAATATAAAACCCTTTTCTGGACATTATGGAGCTACAAAGATTTGCCACTACAAAAAATGGAAAGAAAGATGCATCTGTCTGTGATACATTAAGAAGGGGTACATCTTGCCATTTTTAGGGTGTTCACTAAACATTCAAGTTACCAGATTTGACTAGGAATTCAATAGTCCCAACTTGAATGTCATTTTCATTTCTATTCAATGATCCACTTGACATTGGTTTCAGAGAATGATTGTCTCCATCTATTTCTCTCTCCTTATCTTAATACTAATGCTAGATCACCTTCTGATCTTTCCCTTGTGCTTTGGTCAAATACTAAGAGAAATCAACAGTCAGTGTAGAAATCTGGATATCTGGAAGGAGGGGAGTGGAGAAGGACTAGGGAGAAGGTAGATAGAGAGGAGAAAGCTTCAATACGGGGACATTTTTGCCAACTTTTCTTTATAAATTTCTGTGGTTGATTTTTCTGGTGATATGAAGGACTTGCCTTTTTATCTGAAGACGGATTTTTCTTCAGCTGATGCCGTTCATGTTCTTTCCAGGCATTCAGTGATACTGCCTAAAAATATTTAGTCTGATAATCAGAAGGGCCTAGACCTCTTTGATTAACAGGATGTAGATTCAGATGAGAGAGTGGTTTTCTGCAAATGCTTCTCGGCTTCTGTATAATTATAGTTTGCTTTTGATGGCGCATTTTGTCCTCAAGTTCTGTGAACGTGATCTGTCTCCCCCATCCCAGCCTCCCTGCCTGCAATGACACCCCCCATCCCTTTTGGGAGTGCAGGGTAAATACAAGCTCCCTTTAGTCTTAAGGATGGGAGATGTGAGCGAGGGGCTGTGGGTACAAGGTTACAACTTGGATCAACATTTCTCAACTCGTTTGTGTTAACTGCACACTTTTTTGGAAATAAACTTTTAATTTTGGAATAATTTTATGTTTACAGAAAAGTTGCAAAGATAGTACACAGAGTTCTGTATGCTCCTCACGCACCTTCGCCTAATGTTAGCATCTGACATTACTGTGGTACACCTGTCAAAACTAAGAAATCAACATTATTTTTTACATTATTTTTAGCTAAACTGTAGATATTGTTTGAATCTCACTAGTTTCTGCACTAATGTCCTGTTTCTGTTCCAGGATCTGATCCAGGATACTACATTGTATCTAGTACAGCAAACTTGATAGTAAAATTTTGGTTGTGCAGTATTGTTTAATGATGTGGTAAAGACTGAAAACAATGCTAAATAAGTTGGCAGCAATTACAAAGCCTTTATTGCCACAGTGTAAAAAGTGTCTCCTGGGGTCTATAAAAACATCCACATAAAATTATTCACCTGGTCGGTGTTGGAATGGAACCAGTCACTGTCCTGACTTCTGCCACATATACTCATGGGACAAAATGCCCTCAGGTTCCATACAAACATGCAGCCCCGCGGTGGAATTGGGTTGATGTTACACTATTTATTTTATAGCATAATCTGAGCAACTTAGATCTCATCCCAAACTGAGGAGAAATACTGACTTGATGTTTCAGGACTCAGAATCCATCAGGAAGACCAGGCTCCTATGCCAGCCTCACCCCACCCGCTGCTCCCCCAGGACATTCCCAAGTGGATTTACAAGGAACCAGATGAAAAGTGGATTCGTGGTTTAGTTTTTGAAGAGGTTGTACAGCCCATATCTAGGGCCAAATGGATTTCCATTCACTTGTGCATATTTATCAAGGCACCCGGAATGTCCTATACTTGACTTTTGGAGATACTGGTAGGGGTATTCCCAAATATTTAAGAAAAATTTGGGGGAATTTCCTGACCAGGGCAGGCAAAAAGGCAAGTATAGATACGAGTGTATAGGAGTAAAAAATATGTGAGATGGTGTAATATTAACGGTAACTCACACAGATAGCATTCTAAATCCCCAACACATTGAATCCTCAAGACCTTATTAAGTTGGTACTATTATTTTCACCATCATAAGCATGGGGAAACTGAGGCTCAGAGAGGTTAAATGGCTTGTCCAAAGTTCATACAACTATGAAATGTGGAGCTAGAATGTAAATGGGGCCAGTCAGACTCCAAGGTTTGTGTTTTTAACCACTACACTGCATGACTTCTCCTTGTGGTACAGTGCTTACAGAATGGGGAAGTCTTCCCCCAGGGGTAGACTTTGTTAAACGATATGCTAAGTGACCTGAAAGATCAATTGGCACTCTAGGGCCGGCCCCGTGGCTTAGTGGTTGGGTGCGCGCGCTCCGCTACTGGCGGCCTGGGTTCGGATCCCAGACGCACCGCTTCTCCTGCCATGCTGAGGCCGCGTCCCACATACAGCAACTAGAAGGATGTGCAACTATGACACACAACTATCTCCTGGGGCTTTGGGGAAAAAAAAGGAGGAGGATTGACAATAGGTGTTAGCTCAGAGCCGGTCTTCCTCAGCAAAAAGAGGAGGATTAGCACGGATGTTAGCTCAGGGCTGATCTTCCTCACACACACACACAAAAATTGGC